GACCGCTCTGGACAGCACTTTCAACTCAGATGCACTGGCCAGGTACACAGGAAAAGCCCCGGGAACTTTTGAATTTCATTTCCTGTTTGGTCAGCGTGGCAAGCTGATCAGCACAGGTGACCGTGCAGATCTCATCAGCAGAGGTGACCATGGAGTCCCAGAATCACAAAAGAGCTCCTGCATGGACCGAACGGGAGGTACTGGATCTGATCGCTGTCTGGGGAGATGAATCCATGCTATCCTAACTCCGTTCCAAAAGACGAAATGCCAAAATATTTGAAAAAATCTCCAAGGGCATGAAGGACAGAGGCTATAACAGGGACTCGCAGCAGTGCTGTGTGAAACTTAAGGAGCTGAGGCAAGCCTACCAAAAAACCAAAGAGGCAAATGGCGGCTCTGGGTCAGACCCCCAGACATGCTGCTTCTATGATGAGCTGCATGCAATTCTAGGGAGTGCCCCCACCACTACCCCACCCCTGTTTGTGGACTCCTGCAAGGGGGGAGTCTCACGCAACAGGGATGAGGATTTTGGGGACAAGGATGATGATGATCATCATAGAATATCAGGGTTGGAAATGACCTCAGGAAGTAATCTAGTCCAACCCCCTGCTCAAAGGAGGACCAATCCCCAGACAGATTTTTGGCCCAGATCCCTAAATGGCCCCCTCAAGGATTGAACTCACAACCCTGGGTTTAGCAGGCCAATGCTCAAACCACTGAGCTATCCCTCCCCCAAATGATGAGGAGGAGGTTGAAGAACGCGCACAGCAAGCAAGCAGAGAAACCGTTCTCCCCGACAGCCAGGAACCGTTTATCACCCTGGAGCAAATACCCTCCCAACCCTCCCAAGGCGGGCTCCCGGACCTTGAATGCGGAGAAGGGACCTCTGGTGAGTGTACCTTTGTAAATATAATACATGGTTTAAAAGCAAGCATGTTTAATGATTAATTTGCCCTGAAGACTTAAAGAAGCCAAAAGACTGTCTTACCATGGCTGCCTGCAAGCCGAATTTCGTTGCCCAGCCCTGTGTGTGTGATCTCTCACACCAAACCGGCAGGCCCTCAATATAAGAGGCAAAATGTGACCTTGTACTCTAAAATGTGTCTTTTTAAATACTACTCTCCCTTTTTTTTTCCTACCACAGCTGCAAATGTTTCAACGCTCCCCCTATCACCTCCGTCCCAGAGGCTAGCGCAGATAAGAAGGCGAAAAAACGCACTCGCGATGAAATGTTCTCTGAGTTCATGCAGTCCTCCCGCACTGAAAGAGACCAGCAAAATGCGTGGAGGCAAACAATGTCAGAGTCCAGGAAAGCACAAAATGAACGCGAGGACAGGAGGGATGGCTGGAGCAAGAGGAGAGGTGGCGGCAGCATGATGAGAGGAGGCAGGAGGCAATGCTGAGGATACTGGAGGATCAAACTGGTGTGCTCCGGCGTATGGTTGAGCTGCAGGAAAGGCAGCAGGAGCACAGACCGCCGCTTCAGCCCCTGTGTAACCAACCACCCTCCTCCCCAAGTTTCATAACCTCCTCACCCAGATGCCCAAGAACGCGGGGAGGGGGGCTCTGGGCACCCAACCACTCCACCCCAGAGGACTGCCCAAGCAACAGAAGGCTGGCATTCAATAAGTTGTGAAGTTCAGTGTGCCCTTGTCCTTCCCTCCTCCCCTACCCAACCTGGTGCTTCCCTCCTCCCCCATCCCTCCCGGGCTACCTTGGCAGTTATCCCCCTATTTGTGTGACGAATTAATAAAGAATGCATGAATTTGAAACAACAATGACTTTATTGCCTCTGCAAGCGGTGATCGAAGGGGGGAGAGGAAGGCGGTTGTTTTACAGGGAAGTAGAGTGAACCAAGGGGGCAGGTTTTCATCAAGGAGAAACAAACAGAACTTTGACACCGTAGCCTGGCCAGTCATGAAACTGGTTTTCAAAGCTTCTCTGATGCGCAGCGTGCCCTGTTGTGCTCTTCTAACTGCCCTGGTGTCTGGCTGCGCGTAATCAGCGGCCAGGCAATTTGCCTCAACCGACCCTGCCATAAACGTCTCCCCCTTACTCTCACAGATATTGTGGAGCACACAGCAAGCAGTAATAACTATGGGAATATTGGTTTCGCTGAGGTCTGTGCTTGTTTCCTGGACCCAGAATTGGCATTCCACAGCATGAACCACCATGATGTCCACATTGCCAGGGCCCGTGCTTTGAGAGAAGTCTGTGTCCATGTCCTCATCACTCTCGTCACCGCGCTGCCATCGCCTCCTCGCCTGCTTTTGCAGGTTCTGGTTCTGCATATACTGCAGGATAATGCGTGAGGTGTTTACAACAGTGATAACTGCCGCGGTGATCTCCATGCTTGCTGTGGTATGGCATCTGCAGGAGAGCAGAGTTGCAGCAGAAGCGGTGGATGACGGAATAGATATTTATAGAGAGAGGCAACGAGAATAGATATTTATAGAGAACAACGAGAGGACCTGCGAGGTGGATTCATGAGAGCAGGAGAGCAGAGTTGCAGCGGAAGCGGGAGCCCATGACAGCCAACATGGAGAAATTCGCTATCGATCGAGACAGGAGAGCAGAGTGGCAGCGGAAGTGGTGGTTCGAATGCCAGTTTTTCTGACTTATTGCTCCGTCTGTGGCCAGAGCAGGAGAGCAGAGTGGCAGCGGAAGCGGTCGTTCGATGACGACGGTTAGCAGTCCAATTGCTGAAAGCACGGAAAAAAGGCGCGAAACAATTGTCTGCTGTTGTTTTCACGGAAGGAGGGGCGACTGACGACATGTACCCAAAACCACCCGCGACAATGTTTTTGCCCCATCAGGCATTGCAAGCTCAACCCAGAATTCCAATGGGCGGCAGAGACTGCGGGAACTGTGGGATAGCTACCCACAGTGCAGCGCTCCGGAAGTCGATGCTAGCCCCGGTACTGTGGATGCACTCCGCCGACTTAATGCGCTTAGTGGGGGCACACACAATCGACTGTATAAAATCGCTTCCTAAAAAATCGACTTCTATAAATTCGACCTAATTTCGTAGTGTAGACATACCCTAACAGTCCTCCAGCAACTGTCTAACAATGCCTGACACTGACTGCCCTGGTCACAATTGTTAACTCCCCTTCCTGGAAACGGGAAGCCCCCCGGCTTTAAAACCCTGTGAATTTTTGAAATGCCTTTTCCTGATTGTGCATCTTGGTGAGCACACCTCTAGCAGCTCTCCATTATTATGCACAACTGCCCAGCTGACCATGCCGGCTACATGCGTCAGACACGCTCTGGGCTGAAACAGGCAGGAGTCTCGGGAGATATTAGATCTCCTCTGCCTGCGGAGCAGGGCCGGCTCCAGGCACCAGCTTGGCAAGCAGGTGCTTGGGGCGGCCACTCCAGGGAGGGGCGGCAGGTCCAGCTACTCGGCGGCAATTCGGTGGACAGTCCCTCACTCCCGCTCAGAGCGAAGGACCTCCCGCCGAATTGCCACAGCAGATC